CACTAGCCACATGTAGCTCTTCACAATTTAAATTATTTAAGATAAAAAATTCCTCCCTCGCACTAGCCATATTTCCAGTGCGCATGTGGCTGGTGGCTACCGTACTGGACAGTACAGCTATAGAACATTACCATCATCACGGAAAGTTCTTTTAGACAGTGCTGGTCTAGGAAAGAGCTTGAGATAGCATCCAGGAACCCTGGGTTCCAGTCCCAGCCTTGACTAATAATTTGGGTAAGTCGCATCTTCCTCTGGGCCTCAGTTTTCTCACCGGAGAGATGGGAGAATAGCCTTTGTCCTTCTTATCTCCTAGGTGAACATGTAACAGGAGGGTCGGGGCAGGAACCTGGGTGAAGCAGCAGGTCAGCTCGAAGGCAAGGGCTGGGAAGCCAGGTGGGTCCTAGTGCCGAGAACTAGTCCAGCCCTGGGCTAAGGGAAGGGTCCCAGCTCTGGAGACATCAAGATGTGAGCCTGGTACCCATCCACCCTCTTCCCAGCCTTTCTTTCTCCTCCCGGGAACTCTCACCTGCGGAGCTGGAAGGCGAGTGTTGCCGGGTTGGTCTGGTGCAGCTCTGTTCTCTGCTAGGCTGGGTGCTCCAACCCTGCCTTATAAAGCCCTCAAGGCCCCTCCCAAGCCCTCTTTCTCCAGGAGGCCAGGATCCCCACTGTGAGAGGAAGCGGGGTGGGCCAGGTACATCACCCCTGCCCCACCCTGTCATTTATAATCAGTCATCCAGATGTGGGGGAAGCTAAGCGGGGTTGACCTTCACGGTGAGGGGCAGGAGCAGGGTGGGGTGTTCTTCTTCATCTGGGCATGAGGCAGGCAGGAGACAGGGTCCCTGGTGTCAGAGACAGTGTCCCTAGCATGTCCTTGGGGTCAGAGGCCTTGTGCTCCTCCCTTGGACTACATTCAATTAGGGGACATGTGAGATGAATGGACTAAATGACCTTAGAATCAGAGAAAGCATATTTCATCATACACTGATGTTTGAAGAACAAGGAGTATGTGAATGTAGAGTGATGTATTGATCCCTTGTCCCCACTGCTGGGCTCTGCAAACAGGACGTGCCATAGTTATCAGGAGCAATGGGCCATAGGTTGATGCCTCGCTCTCTGCCTAGTGGCTGTATCCTGGCTGCCTCTGAAACCCCTTCACCTGCCCTTCCCTGAGGTCCCCACTTCTCCTTATGTCCTCTGTGCTCCCTGACATCTCCCCAAGTCTGCTCCTCATTTCTCACCTCTTTAAACCCCCTACCCAGAGCCAATTCCTGAGGCTCCTGAACCTAGAGGCTCAAGGGGAGATAGTAATCTGATCTCTTAATATAAAAATGTATCTTAAAAAAAAAATACATCCTAAAATGGTTAGTAAAGAGACTAAAGGTTTTGCCCAAGATGTTCCAGAATGCCAAGTGGTGCGCTTGTTGACCTGTTTGATAAATTGCTGCCTGGACCTGGTTTGGACCAACGTAACTAGCTCTAGGCTGTTTTTGATTTTTCTGTAGCTGGGACTGGAGATTTTGCTTTCGTTCATGCGTCATCAGGGGCCCTTCCAGTCTGGGGAGTCTTAACACTCTTTGGATCCTGGATAAGGGGCAGTGGTACTCACACTTACAGCTAACCTTGCTGAGAATTAATAGGTGATGAAGGAAGCAGGCTGTGAGGTGTCCATGGCAACCAGTGGCTGAATGTTCTGGTGAATAACCACTGTAATCCAGAACAGGTCTCAGTGACACAGTAGATAGAATAAACGAAAATGACAAAAAGCAGCACAGGTGTGGGTGATCATAATTGAATCACAGAAGCTTAGAGACGGTAGAGACTTCAGGGGGCTTGGAGGGAAGAGTGGGGTGGGGAACAGTTCTGCTCACATCCTGGGGAAAAGAGATGTTCATGTTGCTGTGGTAACGGGAAATTACAAGCTTTCGGCAGAGCCCTGGTTGTACCAGAGCCCAAGACTCGATTTCTGCTGGGTAAGGGAGGTGTATGCCCCTTGGCTGTTCTTCCGCAGGCTGGTTGCACAGGGGCTGGCAACCACACCATTTAGAAGCATATAATAGTCCCATCCGACATGTGGTGGAGTACTGCTGTTTGCGGGCGCTGGCAGGCATGCAGCCAGGGCTCCTGTGCACAGTTGAAAGAGACAGCCCTCACCCCAAGGAGCTCGCCATCATGGAGACTTGTGTGTTCTCTTCACAAGGGAACCTGCTGAGCTTTGGGCTGCTCTCTCCCTCTCTGAGCTGATTTTCCCTCCAGGAAATGAGGAAATTAACTTGGTGATGGTTGGGGGAGATGGTCCCGTGAAGGTGATGTACATAAAGCACTGTGCATGGCGCCCCGAAGCTCACGGGTAGCTAATTTGTTTGCACCTTCTCCCCTTATCCTCTCTGGGCCTGTTAGCGGCATCTGTGAAGTGGGAATCATTCATTCCTACCTCACAGGGCTGCAGTGAGGGGGAGATGCGACTAGGTCTGTGCACACGCCTTGCACACACTGGGGAGCTTTGCCTCCCCCAAGGCTTAAGGAAGGTAATTCCCTAAAAAGCATTAGCTGTAAACCCAAAGTTTTCCCTCCCAATGGCTGTGACTCATAGAGACGCCTGCCCTGAACTGTCACTGAAAGAGGCACAAGGGATGAAGCCTACTGAGGCCGGACCAGTCAGAGACTGGCACCTACTGATGTGAGGAGGGTTTTGGAACTGGTGAGACCAGGGTGGGATCCAAGATCCAACACTTTGACTAGCTGGGTGACCAGAAAATCCAGTTTCTGGGTCTACCAAGTTGAAGACCAAATCCCAGACCCTGGGGCCCAGCCCCCTTCCCCTCCCTGTGGACCCTGTCCCTGTGCTCATAATGATGACAATGCTGTGTGCCAGGCACTGATAGGCCCTTTTCATGAATGGATACACTTACTTTTCCCCATCACCCCAGTATGTAAGTGCCAGTGTGTCCCCATTCTACAGATGAAGAAACCGAGGCCCAGAAAGGTGAAGCATTCACTGTTCTGAGTTCACATGACCAAGAAGGAGAGCTGGGCTTAATACTCGGTTCTCTGTCCACCTGTTTCTGCAATCTTTCTCTTCCCAGGGCAGAATAACAGTCCCCCAAAGATGTCCACACCCCAGTTCCTGGGACCTGTGAACGTGTGACGTTACATGGCAAAGGGAATTTGCAGATGTAATTAAGGTTGTAGACTTTAAAATAGAGAGCTTATCTGAATGGGCACAATTTAACCAGATGAGCTCTTAAAAACAGAGAATGTTCTTTGGTTAGAGGCAGAAGTAATATGGCTGAAGGGTGAGTCAGAGATTTGAAGAATGAGAAGGCCTTGACCTGCTTTTGCTAGTTTGAAGATGGGAGGGGGAGGCCGACAGGTGGCCTTAAGAAGCTGAGAAAGGTCCCCAGCTGAGGCCCCACAGCCACAAAGAATTGAGTTCAGCCAGCAACCTGGATGAGCCTGGACACAGATTCATCCCAGAGCCTTCAGGAAGGAATGCAGCCCTGGCCACACCTTGATTTTGGCCCAGTGAGACACGCCATGCCTGGACTTCTGACCTACAGAACTGTGAGAGAATGAATTTGTGTTGTCTTAAGCTTCTAAGTTGATGGTTATTTATTATGGCAACAATAGAAAAAGGATGCAAGGGGCTCCAGCCTTCCGATGGCTTTCGTCAGTAAGAACTGGCCTTGCGTGAGTTTCTGTGTGATTTTCCAAACACAGTTAAGGGAGATGTTCGTTAAGGTATGGGACTGTTCATCTCTTCCATTTTCGTTGCAGTTATCAAGCACCTGCTGCAAGCCAGGGTCTGGATGAGGCCCTGGGGATAAGAGATAAGTATGATGATGGCCCTTCCCTGGCTTTGGTGTAGTTTAGATTCTAGAAGAGTGGGGGCACACGCACGCACACACACACACACACACACACACACACACACAAATGGACATAATAGCAATGATACCCTGTCAAGGGGAGACGGTTCCCAGACTCCCCAGGGGGCAACTCTGTACACGTGACCACGCTCTGCCTGCCAGGGCAGCTTTGGGAAACTTCACCATGTTGGATGAGCTGGCGTCAGGGAGGCCATGCTGGAGTCCTAATTGGTTATTGATAGCAGAAAAGGGCAGGGTTGATGATGTCTCATTCACCTTGCTCCAGGCAACAGGGCCTTGGAGGGTGTGAAGGTTCTAACACAAACAGTGACACCTGGGTGGTGTTAGTATCAACGTGGGGCATCCGTGGGCCCTCCCAGGGCAGGGGGCTGGGGAGGGGGAAGTAGGTTCACGACTTCTGGACTAACTTGCTGTCTGATAGTGGTAACATAGCAGGACCAAGAGGACAGCCAGCAAGCACACTGCTCTCAGGTTGAGCTGAAGAGGCCACCCACCAACTTCAGGGGCCAGGGGACAGTCTCAGCTGCCTAGGAGGAGAGCAAAGAACACCCCCAATCCAGCCTCTGCCTTCTCTTCCTGAGCTCCCCTCCTACGTTCTCACCTGATGCCCACCTGTGCCTTCAGAGCAGTGGCTCTCAGCACACGCCTCATGAAGATCACCTGGGGAGCCCTAAC